TTCTCGACGGCGGCGGTGTGTGTAGCGTTCATTCGTTCGCTCGCAGTGTGAGACGCTCATAACGTCGATTCTTGAGAATTCCCGCCGAGACGAGGCAGCCTGGTTTGTTAGTTTAAATGATCAAAGCTTTAAAGGATCAGTGTTGCCCTACAGGCATCTTGTTTACGCGGATGTGGTTGTTTTTGAACATTGAAAAATCTTCCACAGCGACAGGCACGCCAGCCATTTTTTCGCACGATATCCGAAACGATATCGAAACCCCAAAATCTGCAGTTAGCTGCGGTCAAGCGTTGGTGGTCCCGTCCAATGTTGATGCCGTCTCTGTTTTCCCACGTAAACTAGCCGTTTTCATCAAGTGCGAGTGACACGCGGCTTCTTTTGTTTTTCTCGCGTCTAAAACCGTCTAAAAACGAACGCCCTCGCGCCCTCGCGAGTCAGCCGAAAACTCGGCGGAGTTTTACTCGCCGACGTTTCCGACCCTCGCGCCATTTTCCCAAGCACGATCTTTCCAACTTTCGCCATAACGGCCGCCGTATAATTCGAGACACCGTGCGATGGATTCGGCGGATGTATTCGCGACGCCGGGAGCGACGGCTCCGATCGTGCGCGGCGCATCCCGTGGGATACGCCGAGAGGGAAGGCCACTTTTACAAGCTGAGGGGTTGACCTTTTATTGCCCAACCAGGTAATAACGGCTCATTACGTATGCATAGGTTATGTTACTAGTTTATCGATTTTCGAGGCTCGTGAACCGAGCACGTGTCCATGCTGAATGCAGTCCCGGTGACGCTGTCTACATTCTGCTATGCGCTTCACGAACACCTGTAGATATCCCGGCCCGTAGGCATCGCCGCCCGAAGCGGCGCGCTTATGCAATCGTATTGTTTTTACTGCACGCATACATTGCGCGATAATCCGCTTTGTATATGCGTCCGCGCGATCGTCGCTCGAGCGGACGCAACTACACGCGCGCGCGCGCGCGCATTGTGTCACCCTGTCCAACTTTTCCCGTTAAACCGATACAAAAGTTCTGTTTATTTATGCTGTCTGCTTAACATTGTGCTCGCGCGCATTGCGCATTTCGCGTTGCATGCGAAATGCGCGAATCCTCCTCGGCTCGATCTTCGTCGTGAATGACACGCCACGTCGCACAGTGGGGCCAGATGACATTTTTTGGTTGAAAATTCTCTAGAGACCTGAATTTCCAACCGATCATCGACACCGATGGATGAGGGCTTGATCCTGAATAAATTCCAAAGAGATCTGTCTAGCCGAAATTTTGAACAAATTATCGGTTCAGGGTTCGTCTTAAAAGTTTATCGTTTAATTAAAGTACAGTGTCTTCTACAGGGTTCGACCTCAATGGGTTCGAGCCTATGATACTAAATGCGAAACCCCAGAACTTATAATCACCTTTTAGAAAACTCAGAATTTCAAAGCTCATCAGCTCAGCTAAAAAGTTCTCGGATTGATAGATTCCTAGGTTAATGGACGTAACACTCAAAATCCCTCGGTTTTGTACTTAACAACAGGTCTATATCTGATGTTTTTGTATTTTGGGCATATGAGTTTTGGGTTAATGGGTTTCTGGTTCAAGATCGATAAATCTCGTCGAGGTGTCTATTGATTGGTTTCATACATAGGCAGTCTGAAAAGTTCTCGACCTGACGCGCATACATGGCATTAGAAACTGTCAAACTATAATTGTATTGGAAAGTGGCATCCCTGATATAAACCCATGTAAAATTTTATTCGATCTGTCAAATCATTCGAGTAGTAGCACCAGTTGAAAAAGCTTTGTGCAAGATGGGTGCCGCATTTGTTAACAATTGACCAAAAACGCATTCAAATGCGTGTATTTCTCAAGCGTGTTTGGATCGTTTTAAACAAAATAAAATGGATTTCAAGCGTCGTTTCATAACTGTTGGTGAAACTTAAATCCACCACTGTATACCAGAGCGAAAAGAACCTTCCGGAATCACCATTTAATGATGGTATTGAATTATTGGAAAAACGTTGGAATAAATGTATTGAAGTTTCAAGAGATTATATTGAAAAATAAAAGATATTTCACGGCAAAAAAAGTTCCCTTTCATTGTTAGGCCGAAAACTTTTCAGACTGCCCTCCGCTGTTTCAATCCGCTGAATACGCTATTAGATAGAAATAAGTGTCGAATAATGAGTATTTCACAAGTTTCTCGCGTTTAACGATAATTTTTTCTTTTTTGCGGCTAGTAATTCGAGAAAAAATTTTTTTTTAATTTTGGCAAGACAGATCTCTTCAGAATTTATTCAGGATCAACCTCATTCATTGGTGTCGATGATCGGTGGGGGAAATCCAGGTCTCTAGAGAATTTTGAAGAATGTCATCTGGGCTCCACTGTGCGTCGACCGGAGTCGTCCTCTCGCGCGAGATGTAACCTCGTAGCCCTTTGCGCGCGAATCTGCAGAAACCGTCGCGATGTATTGCCCCGATAAGATATACGTCGTGTTTATTTCGAGCAGCGCCCGGGGACGTTTCACGACGGTCCATTAGTTAACAAGATGCCGGAGAACGTTGTTTGAGGACGTCGCGAGCGGATAACGAGACGTCGTCCCCGAGGTCGACGGGTTTACTCTCGCAGGTGCTTTCGGTCGAACGTAGTGCGGGTGTATTGCACCCCCCGAGATGTACGCGCGACAAGTTGGAAAGAAAGCCTCGAAGAAAACGAATACGTGAGGCGCGTCGACCGTGACACGTCCAGCGATGTCTTTCGCCCGCTTCCGCTTCGTTCGTTTCTTTCCTCGCTCGGGTCATCTCGCCGAGATTTCTTCGAGAGGCGGACGCAAAGGGCGCGAGGGGCTCGCGCTCTTTTTCCGGATTATACAGTTTCGCCTAATCTTCATGTAGTGAGTCCGGGATAGATGGGCACATAATTTTTTCAATTGGAATAGTCGCTCGGCTAAAATTCGCCGGGCGTGTTAACGCTGTAACTGCGCGAAACTGCGGCCGGCGATTATCTCCGGATATGGAATGTCCACGGTGCGGTGTCAGTCTTCACGATGGAAACGTCCGAATAATTCCAGCTCGGGCGATGCTTATCAGGCCGGACGGAGTTTCAAACGCTGCGCACACAATCCCGGCGATTGTGTGTGTGCGCAGCGTTTGAAGCTGTCAGCGCGCTGTGACAATCGTCACTCTTCAGCCGACGTATCTTCGTCTTGTTTCCTCCCCCTGTCCACCTTTTACTCTGCAACTTTACACGATTTTTTTCATAATATCGGTCCCGAGACAGCGATTAGGGCGAACACGACGACGGTCGGAAGATACTCGGCCTGTCCGGCGGACTGAATAAACGATTCAGAGGGACAGTTATCCGTTATTGGGATTCGCTTTGCGAGAGAAGCGCGCGAGTTTCACGCCGGGGAAAGAAAACACAGCTGTGAGAAACCCTTCGATCGATATGCAATTACGGTTTGAGGTCCGCCAGGCAATAGAGCAGCTTTACATTGTGGATAAATATTTGCCGCGGTAAATAAACGAGTGGCTCCCGTGCAGGTGCGTTTATTTGATTCGGCTGGAAGGGAAGAGGTTATACGTAAAGAGAGGAAGGGCTGCGAAGGCTCTCGAAGGGCTCAGTTTGTCAATCGCTATCCCGTGACTCGATCGTGCGATCGCGCGGTGTTTTGGCATTAAATATTAGGTGAGCAAAAAAAGTTCTGAGCTTTTTCCTTGCAAAATTCCTTTCCCATTACATGTAAACGTACGCGGAAACGGCTTGCCGCGTAACGCCAAGCTGCTCTGCAAGCTCCTTTTCAGTTTTGCGTAGAGTTTATATATCCAGCAATGCTTGCAGTTTGTCCGTTTCAATCTTTTGAGGGCGCGGTCCAGCACGCGGTTTATTTTCACGACTGAAATCTTGGTGAAATTTTTTATACCGTCTTTTACACGTGGCATGACTTACAGCGTTCTCTCTATATGCAGCACAAATCATTTCAGTGGCTTCAGCAACATTTTTGTTCAGATGAAACGCGAAGTGGATGGAAAATCGAATATGCTTGCTCTTTTGTTATTGCCATCGTGAACACTACTGATTTTTGAGGTTATGTGCATCAAACGCCAAACAACATGGCATTTTAAAAGGCCAAACGTCAAGGCTTTAAAATCGCAAAAGGACGGGAAGATAAATCAAATTTAAATTGTCACTTCGGTTGTATGAAATCTAAAGCTCAGAACTTGTTTGCTCACCTAATGTATACTGGCAGTTGTAGCCTCCATTGTTGTTAACATTTGACACAACTTCGTCGTGCATTAACGTTAACAGCGAGATTACTTGATAACGGTTATTATCGATAATAAGAGTTTGATGGGCTTTTAACGATATTCGGAGGCACGAACGAACGTTATATTGAATTTCGAAACTCACGTTGAATTCCGCGCCGCTCAAGATAGAAGCGGAGAGGAATGCGAAAATACCGTTAACGAGAACAGTTGGACCTTTAATCTCATCTACGTAATACAAACGTAATCCTTTCTGTCTCGTTGTTAAGTCGAAAAGGGGTCGCAATAACGGAGTTCCTTTTTATTCATGCTGCGCGAGCCTTGTTCGTTAATTAGACTATTCTCGGAAATTCGTCGGCTATTTCGGCACGAAATAATATCGTCATCTTACCAATTATTTTTATACGAAGCAATCTGCTCTGCGCTACGCGCAACGCCTCCTGCTTCGCTCTCGCTTCTCACTCGTATCCGCGAGCAGCGAGCTGTGCGCGCTCACGGCATTATCGACCGGCAAACGATATCAAATTTCAAACTGATATTTATAATAGAGCGGAGCGGGCACGGAAAAGTGAGACGACGCCTCGTTACCTGGAGATTGACGTTGTGCGTTGAAAGAGTTAGACGAGATGAGCTTGCCAAGCGATCCTTGAAATTGGCCCTTGACGTCTACCTAGACCCGAATTGTCTCGGAGAACACGCGGAGATAACTTTCGTGTACGTTTGTTGCTTTTGTTGACAGTCTGTGGGAATAGAAGTGCGAGTGACCAATGAGATCCCCCTTGTCTCGACGGAAACAAATGTCGTGCAAGGTGCAACACCGCCATGGACCACCACGTCGGTCCTATGCCGAACCAACCCGCCCACCCCCACAAATCCACATTCGCAATACTTGTCGCCTCACGTCCTCCACGGCCGGAACTCGCTCTGTTCCGCGAACGGTAAGATCTTCTCATTGTTTATTCCGCACGATACGAGGCACGCACATAAGAAAAGAAACGACATCTTCCCATCGGTCTCATCTACGTACCTTTCGTAATGGTCGAGAATAATCGGGCGAACGGGCATAAAAAATACGAAATATGTTCCTCTACACTCAAAAAAAGTATTCTATTTGTAAAGTGATTTTTCCCATAGTCTTATATTCTAAGCGAAATCTTTTACAGAAAAAGGATTCCTCGATTTTGACAAAGTGATTAAAGTGAAGCATTCATCTAAAATTTATTAGATATTATTCTAACTGTTTTCCTCTTATTTCAAGAGGATTTTCTCTTATATCAATTAATTTTCCTCTTCTACGGGGAAGAGGAATATGTTGATTTGAATGTCGGCTTCTTTTATTCAGTCATGTGTACCTCTAGACATGAACAAAAAAATAATCATATGCTCATGGGTCAGAATATTTGGAACACTTTTTAAGAAAAAGTATATGTGTTGTTGTAACATATAACAAAGATAATTTACCCATATTTGGTTAAATACAGTTTATAATCTATTGCAAGAAGTTGAATAATACATTCTTTCTTTTGAACTATGTTTCATACAATTATAGTTATGGTGAACATCTTTGTAGCTATGAAGTCCATGACAAAACTGATTGGAAATTTGTTTGTTATGATGATCTTATTTCATTCGTGCCTACTTATTGCAGAACTGGAGTCAAAAGTACACACACACACACACATATATATATATATATATTACTTTTCGCTATATATTATAATAATTTTTTCAAATTAACTACTAACCAGTAAGAATAAAGTATAGTAAAAATAAATAATAATCCTCTTAAAAAAGGATTCAACAATTTGTGTATAAGAGGAAATTTATATTAAAATCAATAAGATTTGCATTATACATATAACATATAATCCCTCTTTATAACATTTTCCTCTTAATCTTAGAGGAATCCTTTTGAGACCGTATATAAGAATAAAATCCTCTAAAATTTAGATGATTCCGCTTGTTTTGAAATTACCTTTTTTGAGTGTGTATACATATTCAATGCTCCGTTTCCGGTATTTGAAAATTTGCAGACGAAATTAGAAACATTGATGGTTTTGCAAAAATTGACCGGGTCTCCTCTTCCACCCGCGTCGAGACAAAATCATATCGAGAATACGTACGAAATGTACGGAATATACGGTTGCGCTTTTAATATGATATCGGCAATATCATTGGGAAATGTGATACCGATATTTTGTCTGTAAACTCTTCGGCCGGGCTTAATGGACGAGCTTCAAGTTTGAGCAACGGTTGTAAAAATTCGATATATTTCTTACGAGAAGATACAAACGCGCTTTGCATTATCCGCGCGCGACGAGCTTGAGATGTATTATCGTCAACGTTCAATTCCCGCCGTGGTAATCCCTTTAAATCGACGTTTCCTTCGCAAGCACCTGCCTTCCAGGCAGGCGGTATGATGGTGCCGCGAGGCTCCCGCGAGGGAGATTACGTGTGCACATTAGACACACGAGAGAGCCGGCTCCGCAGATTTCTGTAGCGTTCGATTATTTCAGATTACTCGCGCCGAAGGCGTCCTATGACGCTGCGCATCGGTCCTCGTCTCAGCCTTCCCAGCAGGAGCACCTCCGCGCCGACGACCACGACAGACGGGGAATGGCGTACACTTGGGTGAGTCTAACAGAATGTTGCATTTTCCCGCGGCTTCCATTTCGCAATACCGTACTTCGAGCATAGCAAGGTCAAGACGCGGTCGCGATAAATTCTCGGAACTTGCTCGGAACGATCGATGAGAGAGTCGATTCTCCTCCAAGCGGATGTTCGAAGCATCGAATATTCCTCGTAAAATTCTCTCTTCGAGCTACTTCGGAGGAGAGTCCTTTCGTTCGTATTCTCGATGGATTCTTCTTCTTGTTTATGCTTCTCGCTCGTGTTTATATCTAGTTTGTCGATATTAGAGCGCGATGACGACTTCTTCCAGCGCTCCACGTTGAATCGCACACGCGGGAAATCATAATACGCCCGAGATAAAGCATGTCACGACAATTTGCGGTTCTTCCCCGTCGAACGTAAAACTCGAGCGCTTACCGTGTCTCAAGTACGCTGTTGCACGAAGCCGTTGATACTCGACGATTGTTATTACGTCCCGTGACTGGACGTTTTCCGTCGGACGTAAAATTTTAACGTCCAGCGCGCTCGCGCACACAAAAGTCGCGCGCGGTGCGACTGCCAGCGCGAGCATCGCGTATACTTTTTCCTCGCTATTTACCTTGACGTTCTCGATTAACTCCTCTCGCCGATCAGGAAGCGGCGCTTCCGTTAGAAAACGGATCCATATGTATGTTATTATCATGGTAATTTGATTGTGTATGTCACCGTTAACATAAATTTGCATGCTTATGAAGGCGCTCTCTCGACTTTGCGAGCGAGGGAGCGCTGCAAATAAGCTGTGATCCATCAAGGATTTCTCGCCGCGCCGCGCGCGGTCGAAGGATCGTGGTGATATAACTTCGTTAATCAACAATTTGACCGTTCGCGGGCGCGAGCGCAAGATAACATATTTGAATTTACTGCGTGCCGCTTAAGTAACATGCTGGCTGTTATCGACGGGAGCCTTTATTATTATATATCTCAGTTACGATACGCCAAGTGTACGTTTCATTTCCAGCGCGTTTCATCCGCAGCTCGGCATATCTCACGCGAGACGCAGAGCGGTCTGACAATTTCCCAATAAATATTGAACAGCTTTCGTTGCTCCGACATTTCCGTTGCGCTCGCGCTGCATTATCAGCTTTCGAGCTTCTCTTCGTCTTATCGACAATTGAGAGAGAGAGAGAGAGAGAGAGAGAGAGAGAGAAACGAGAATCCGTTCGTCCGTCCGTCCGCGAATTTCTACTTATCATCGCATCTGCGTTATCGCGTTCGTCGGTAATTCAGCGTTTTTGGCGAGTAGTACAATAGTTCCCCGACGCGTTTGCTGTTTCTACAATGTGAAAGAGACCACTGATGCTCTTACCTTGTTTCACCAGTCAGTTACCGACCGTAAGGTGTAGGGTGGTACGTTTTCCGTTGATTTGCGCGCAAAGTCTCTCTCGTACCGAAAGAGCTGTTCAGTTCTCGCTCGTCGATACAAATGTTCGCGCACCGATCAATGAATTGTTCGACACGTTTGTCGCGTTTGCAGCTCGCGATAACGAGAACACGCTCGAGCTTCCTTTATCTTGCTCCGTTTGGTCACTCCTCGTTTCTTCATTTCGTCGGGACGTCGTCGTCGATAGTGATCTTCGCCGAAGGTTATCCGAGAGCGCACCGGGCGAATGAAGATAAGAGAAATAAAGTGGATTAGATTCTTTATTCGGGGCAAAACGGGAAAGATGCGATCGCGCGAGGGTAACACAAAATCCGTGGATGATACTTAAAAGCCCGGACGAGATCAAATTCCGCGCGCGTTAATAGCTGCTCAATCCCTCCTCCCCCCTCATCGCGTATATAATGTAGAATGAACAACACCTTTATCATACCGTGGATGGAGGGATGATTGGATCGATCGTATTCCACTGCATAATGACATAATAATGTAACATAAACGTCACAGCGGGATATTTTTTCAATAATGAATACAGCGCGCGGCCGGGGTGAAATCGTTGGAAGCGACAGCTGCTCGTTTAACCTCTCATTGTTTTCGCGCCGACATGCTGATTTTACAGAGCTCGGCTGTATTTTTTCTTCCTCGTAAATACGCGCGCACCTCCCACAACGCGACAAAATTTGTCCTTTCCGAAGGACAGATATCGCTTATCCGAAGTTTTTTGCTTTTCTCTTTTCCCGTTAACGTACGTCGATCCCCATGAAAGATGTGCATGGGGAGAAGCATGGCGAAGAAGGGTGCATCAGCCGAAATATCGTCTGGAAAGAATTAGGCTTCGAGTCTTTGTCTCACGCCCGACGCGGTTGTCCTTCGACTGTCCGCGAGGTACGAGACAAGTTTGTCCTTGATTGAACAAGAGAGTCCGAATCTCCCGGAAGAAATTGCACGACGCGTTTGGCTGTGGCCAAATGTATCCTCCCCGCAGCCACCCTGATCGATTCGATCGTGCTGGCACGCCGACGCGAGCCACCTGAGGGTAGTGCACCAGCTAACCAGGTAACCGCTGCACCTGGCAGCAGGCACCCTTAGAGCTCGCGGTTAGATCCCGCGGCACCAAGATGTCGCCTTGATCGAAGAGTCGATGACACGTAGCCGCCACTCCTCGTGGTACCCTGTGTAGCCTTACGTTTTGTTGTGACCGCGACGGCCTTGCAGACGGTCGCGCGCGCGTTTCGCTCCGGCTGCGGGCGGCTTCCTCGCGGAGGGTTTTCTCGCGTGTCGACGAGAACGTGCCGACGCACGCGCTCGGCTCCGCGTGCTCACGCACGCACGCACGCACGCACGTACGTAAGTGCGCATACGCGCCGCGACGCGCGTGCTTCGCCACCGCGGCTCATGGTTGTGCGTAAAACGTCGCGGCGAAGCGCAAACACAAACGCCTCTTCTTCGCGAGCAGCGCCTCCGCTTCGAAATTTCGCGTCGCGTCGCGTCGCGTCGCGTCGCCTCGCCGGGCTCGTTGTTGTGCCGAAAATTGTTGCGCTGAAGTTTCGCTCGGCGTGCGTTCGCAGGATCCGGCTGAGAGCGTGCGCGCTCGAGCGTGTGTATGTGTGTGTGTGTGTGTGTATACGTATATACGTGTGCGTGCATGTGTGCGTGTGTGCGCCGGCTGGCGGCACGTCGCGGTTAATTTAAGTGGTGCGACGTGAAACAAGTGCGACGCCGCGCGTCGCGGCAGTTTGCGTCCGCGGTGAGCGAGGAGCGGTGGAACTTTGCGGCACGAAACGCGCGCGATGTTCGTCCCGACATTTACGAGTCTCGTCGTCGTTGACCGGCACGTTAGTCCGCCGTGTTGCAGTGGAAAGTGATTAGCGCAATCTGATCGGGTGCTTGTAGCTGGCGAGAGCAACTCTCTCTCTCCCTTCCTCCCTCCCTCCCTCTTCGGGTGCATTCCGATTGGGGTTAGCTCTCGTTAATTCGGATTCCGCCGACCATGGATGGAGACTAGCGACCCCAGTTTCGCTCAACCTTGCGGGGAATCACGTGCAATCGTCGTTTCGTTTAAACGTGTGTAGCTCGCCTCGTGTCTATAGCCCGATAACTTTTTCCTGCATTAGAAACTTGCTCATCCCCCTGACTTTCTTCCCATCTCCACTGGAGACGACGATACACCGGACTACTGGAAAGTTTCGCGTTCTTGCTTATGTTTCGACTTGCTGTGCTTCACTCGAAAGGTCGCTATCTCTCTCTCTCACCCTCGGTTTTATTTCCGTAACTCGGAGTTCTCATATAGTATAGATACCGCTTCGTGTTCCATCTAATGCCGGTATTTATTATTCAAGCGCGGCTGTCGAGTTTGGCTTGTCCGCTAGGAAAATCAGCCTGGAAGTTAGGAATTCAGAGGGAACCGGATAATCGTATCGAATGCGTATTATGGAGATGACAGCGGCGAGGACATAGCGGAAATTCGGCCGAAAGTTTCCTTTTTGTCGGACGAACGCCGCTTTGAAAGAAAAAAAAAAAAGATCCAACGATCATCGCGAGTGGTCGTTTCTCGTGCGATCGAACTCGAAACGACATCGCCCTTTGGCGTCAACCGGGGATAAATTCGAGAGGAAAGTTCGGCGCGCAGGAGCGTTTAGAAAATCTCGGGAATGGTTGTTTGCGTTGACTTCGACGTAACGGTCGACGACGAAGGCGATCGAGACTATTGAGCGAGGCTAACATGATTTGCGCGCGGGATCGGGATAAGTGCTAAAGATTCCCGCGCCAAGTTCCTCTCCTGAGAATGATCAGATTACGCTTTGGCCGGGAAACTGACTGAAAAGGATAATCCGAAGAACGACATTAACTTCGTTCGACGAATCGTTGACGATTTGTTTCCAGTCGAGACGCGGTCCTTTTGTATTTTATACGTCGTATTTTATATAATTTTATATTATAATAATAATTCGTATTTTATACAACAAGATTCTTACCGTACGTATTTTTCTTCTATCTCGCAATAATTCCGCGAGCAGATCGTTGGACATTGTCGCGATGTCGAGAGAAAGTGGAGGGAAAAGTGGACGATTGAGCTGGGCAGATCGAAGCGAAGCGCGTTAAAAAAAGCTATCGTTGCCCCGTTTCTCGAGGAGCGAGGTAGAATCGCGAAGCGATTGTAGAATCGCCGTAGTGTGTGTCGCAGTGCTGCTGGTGCGTTATTTCTGTCGTAAACTGCGGACCGAGTAAATGTAAACGTAGACTGCGAGAACGCGCGACAGTCGCCGTGCGAAGAGGGCTTGATTTCCAGTGCGGAGCTCGGCTCTCCCTCTTTCTTTCTCACGGACGATACGTTGTATGCGGCGCGTAAGGATGCAGCGAGTGTGGGATAAGGAGGAGAGATTCAATTTCTTTAATTGCGAATTACGGCAAATCCTACAGACGGATTTCCGCGCGAATGTGGGCCGCCGGAGCATCGCGTACATCGTAACTCGCGGATGGACGGAGCGTTCGTTCGATTTCCAACTCGATACACTCGTTCGACTCGTCGACCGCGCGATCGTCATTGCGAAAGATTCCAACGGGGATTTCAATCTTTTTATTGGCTC